TTATTGCAGAAGAGACATGCACGGTCGCCTCTGCAATGAAATGCCTCTACCTGCCTGCTCGGTCTTCTCCAGTGCGTCAGGCTGGTCTCTGAGTGCTGAGATGACTGGCTCCTGCCGCCATACCCCACACCAAGAAAGAGGACTGAAGACAGGTACTGTTGGACAGGTATTCGTACCTTTAGTTTGGCTTGCACTTCCTTGTCCTATAGACTCAGAAAGAGAACACACATTTCCAATGTAAAGGTAAATCTTCCTTTAATCAGCTATGGCAACTCAACATTTTGGATTTACCCTAACTTTTATTTCTGTGATCAGGACAGTTACAGAAAGTGGATCTCCCCTAATGGGAATGCAAAGGAATATAAACCCTGAGATGTTCTACCAGCTCACCACTATTCAAATTAACCCCTTGGAGCCAACACCTCCTGGCCCTTTAAGGTGTTTTAGATGTTAAGAGGTGGGGCTTGTGATCATGTGCCTGCCAAGATTGGCTGTCACAGGTCACATTGGAAAGATATCCATTAGCTGCCGGTAACGCATATGGTGTACGCTCTCAGCATATTTCCGAGTCTTGTCTTTGTTCACGTGTGCATATATGCAGCGCCTCAAAGCATTAAGTCCCACCAGCTGAGAGGCCCCATATATGTGTGCAGCCGGCAGGAAGGAGTTAACTAAGGAAAAAAACCTGTAATTCGGCTTTTAAGGGTAGCCTATGATAACAGCTAAAGTGAGCCATCCAACTTTTAATAAACGTCCTGATGCTTAACATACAACTAAATGGGCTTTGTTGTTTTTTTTTTTATTTGATTCATAGACAGCTATTGAGCTACTGTGCATACACCATAATGTGGATACTTGGTCAGACTCCTCTAGTGACAGCGGTGTCGTTGCTTGTGTATATGAAAATAGAGATAATCAGTACACAGCTATAAATGTGTATCAGACACTCCGCCCGGGTTGATTTTGGCCTGGAGCACCAGGCTTGTCCCCGGGTGAAGGCAAGACTAAGTGCTAATGCCTATCTGGTAGAAATGGAGCTGCATTTGTCTGGCCAGGGTTTAGGAGACAAGGAGATCCCAGTGATGTGCCCCCTAGGAGATGCCATAAAGAAAAAAAAAAAAAAAAAAAAAAAAAAAAAAGACAACACACACCACAATATGGGTTTGAGACCCCACTGAACCTTCACTGGTACTCCGTCACAACACCTTGCTTGTTGAGCAGGCCTTTTAGCCAGATCAGGGAAATGTTTATACCAGCTGAAAAGCACTCCTCGTGTACTGCATATGGCACTCTTCAATCAAGCCTACACTATTTATCACAGACACTAGCACTGAACATGTGTTTTTAGTTTTTTTTAGGCTTCTAAGGAGTGGAAGTCCATTTAGCTTTGGACTAGGCAGACCAAAGAGTGACTATTTTATGATTCACTATTGTTTATAGAGTTTCTAAAAGCACCACACCATGAAAAAAAACAAAAAACATTTAGATACCCACAATAGCATCGGTTAGAGCATCCCTGTCTGCTCTGATAATGTTGGTGTTCAACCTGAAGTCGACAGATATTCTCTCTCCACACCAGTATTTTAGAATAGGTTTGATTTGTCGTCCACTGCGAGTGGTCACAGACCGGGTGGAAGTATCTATGAAACATCAAACATTACAGTGTTTATTTTTGTACATTTGAAATTTTATACAGCACTTTACAGCCATTATACCATTCACATCACTCCTGCACCTGATAGGAAACAGGATAGGCAGAGCTATACAGAGATAACTAATCAATTATCGCTTGAAAGACTGTCAAGAGTGGAAATTGTGCAGGTTGTACTTCCATTTCTATCAGCAGTATAGACACCCCTATAGTCAGCCGGATTTTAATTTCAAAAGTTGTTTAAATGGCAATGGCACATTAATGCAAATGACTACAGGTATTTACACACAGATCCACTTTAGCAACTGATCAAACATGTAACTAAGTTTTGTCTTTAATTTTTTTATTCTATCTAGACAAAAGATTTTGTGAGGAATTTTATTTTTATTACTAAGAAACACAGAATGCAAATGCCTCACAGCTGATGGTCACACAACATGTTGAGGAAATTGGACAGATAGCTGGACCCGTAGATTTATTTTACTGGTACTGCCATCTTAAAAGATATTAATGTAGGTTCCTGGGCAAGCAACTTCTACACCCCAGAGGATCTCCAGTCTCCTTGGCCAATAGTGTGATGTAAACATGTTGAGGTCAGTGTGAAACACAGCGATCCTATGGACGTGCAACATTTTGACTAGACTAACAAGTTGAAGCTGAACCCCAGCTAACATTTTATAAGCAGCTACAGCAAACCTTTTTTCCCATGTGTATAAATGTTTCACATAAAATGAAAAAAAAGCTGTTCGTTGTATGCACCCTTATCAGTGTTAGAGGGTTAAGAAAAAATATTTAACTGCTACTTTGTCTGGACAGCTTGATCTGCTGAGGGAAGTTGAAAAATAGCAGGATTTCCAGGTGAAAAGGAAGGATACGAGCTTAAAAAATAAAATAATGCAGCCATCACATCTAAGAATCAGTAAGCGGCACTTTAATGCATTTTTGTATTTTGTGTTGAATACCGCTTTAATTACAAAATGACACACAAAGCACTTACTACTACTTACTACTACGTGATGATCTAACTTTGCGTTCATCCATTTCAATTGAATATTCCGCATACCCCATATTTAGGTATTTTAATTCTCTACTTGTTTGTCCCTTTTTTGTTACTTTGGAATAATTGCTGGGCTGATTGCTCTTTGTAGTTGGACAGGAATTAGAGGCTGTCTTTTTTGCATTTTTTGTTACAATAACTTTGCTTGGAAGATCCTCGGCCGGGTTAGGAATTACAGCACTAAAAATGAATAAAGGATTAAAAACAATATATGCACACGTTCACCATACCTGCACATAAGGGCTCATAGAAAATACTTTAGACAGTTTCACATGACTGTCATATGCCTTTAAGCGTTTTGTATTTTGTCTCTGCTCCTCCCCTTCCTTTGGTTTAGTTCATGCTGTATAAATAGCTCCACCCTTTTGTTCATTTACCCAATAATGCACCTCAGCATCAAGCCTCCTGTCTTATGGAGTAGATCACATTATGATCTTTTGATCTATCCGATGTTCATTGTTGTAAGATTCTCTCAGTTTATGGAATAACTTCACAAGATCTACAACAGGTGTCGTCTGGATCGAGTCACTGCCTGTGTTATTCAACTAAGATTGAAGTTCTCACCATCTCATCACAACTGTAAGTTACAGAGATCACACTTTCAATGCTTAGATTGGAGAGACAGAACAGACACAAATGGGCCTATTTTTAAGTTTATTACATTTTTATTAAAATTTAGTAAACTTTAACAAGGATACAGAGGTGTCTGTGTCTGTCGGCCGAGCCCTTGTTCCTATGATCCAGCGGATGCGTTTGAGAAAACTAAACCGCACACAGCTCTAAAAGGTGGTGGAATGTGAAATGGAGAGGAGAGCTTCCCCAATCTAACTTATCAAGACCCTGTCTTTCAGGAAGTTTGGTAGGAATCCAGGCAATAAGGTGATGTGAGTGGAGGCACCAATATATGAAGGGAGAGGACAGTGTTCATTTGGTTGAAGTTCTTTAAGGGTTCATGCACACATGCAAATTATTCTATGTAGATCTGGCTGCCAGCTAGATCCTGTCCCTACACCTTGATTGTTAGGAGGCAGGCAGCTTCTGAGGTCTTGAGCTGTCAGTTGCTAGGATGCAGACAGCTTCTGCTGCCACTCATCCTCAGAAGGTAGAATACAGGCAGCTCCTACCAACTCATACTTGACTGATAATGCAGATGAGCTTCCTGTCCTCGGATGCTAGGACACTAGCCAATAGCGTATATTTGCACAAACTGCTGTATGTATGCAAGCGTTAGCACAAACTATTGCATCCATACAGGGGTTGTGTGCTTCTGTGTGCACAGGCCCATAAACACAGCTGTCATCCAAACATAGTATTTTTCGCCTGCATGCACGAGTTCTAAAAAAGGAAGAAAGGACAAGGGGAAGGATAAATTGAAAGGGGGGGGGAATAGGGAACTAAATAAGTAATGCTTTCAGGTACTGTAGCAGTAAGGCTTGGGTGGGTGTGTTAGATCCACACAGTAAGGAATTTCTAATGGGTATCCACTGGTAAGTTTCTCATCAATGAAGAACATGTTGCCTAACTTGGGTAACATGCTACCGAACAGGGTAGGGTATGAATAGGAAGGTTTAATAAATAGACTCTTTTACACTATCAGCTTTTCCTTTTTTGTGACACCTACGTGAGGAGCATACCCAAAGGAGTTAGAGCAGCAGTGGTCCCAGACTCCCCCCCCCCAAGGGGCACAAGCGCTTTAGGACTCATAAAAAAAGGTCATGGCTCGGCTATCCGGTGAGTTTTCTTGTGTGAAGGTAACGTGGGTGTTCACTTTCATAGGAGTACAAAGCATTATATGGAATATTGCAAGGGGAGAGTAATGGAATAAGCACTGTGCACGGTTATTGGACATTTCATTGTTTGTGTACTTTTTTTTAACCCAAAACACACAGGACACTTTTTTGGGACTTTAAAACTCACACTTTGTTTATTGCACTTTATTGGTTGAAATCCTAATATTGATTACATTGATGCACTTTGTGCTGCCATATAGTATTTATATAGAGTGACACTTGTGTGTTTGACACCGCAGCTTTGTTTATAATAAGTTGATTTTAGCTGCAATATGCCCCAACATTGCTCCCTTCATCAGACAAAGTAGGATCAACCCCAGAGCCAACCCAATAGTGATTTCCACATATTCGTGACTGATAAAACCATGCTGTCTTTCATGGTTATTTTGAAAGCAGATATTAAATAGGGACCCATTAGCTAGCTGCAAACTTTGTATATTGGCAACATACTTTTAAATCTTACAAAACATCTATACATAACACAAAATTTGTAAAGTTACCTTTTAAACTCTAAGAAGGAGTTGACATAACTTTTCCAGTTGTCAGGAAAACCGAGTTGAAACTTTTCTACAAGCCAAGATGGACAACCTGAAGAGATAAACAGCACATGAAGTCTCCGATATCACAGGGGATTTAATATTTTACTTGTTAGATTAACCTACCAGCTTGCAACATGCAGGCAGTGTCTGGATTACCCTGCAGTTCATACACTCGGCCTGTCAGAGTCTTCACTTTGTGTGAATCAATGCGATGCGTAATGATATTGCTGTGCCAGTAGAGGTCTTCACAGTCTCTGCACAAGACAGAAGAAAACTTATGTCAATATATAGGAGAGAAAATAATTAAGGGACTTTCAAGGTACCAAGAAAAATCAAAATACGTACAAGATGATAAAAAATTAATAGCTTCATTTTGGTCAGTAAAATTCAACAGTCAACATTGTACACAAGATCGACTCAATACAGCATGACCCAGTCATTGAAAAACACCATGCTCATATCTCATATGTTGCCCAATCTACAATATAATCACAACAGTGGCCAACTGCATTTCATTGAATATTTCCAAAGGCAAAAGATTCTTCACCTTAATGTGTTCCACTAGCTCTTACATCCCCCCCATAGGCTCTTGCTGCTGTCAGTCAAATCCTGTGAGAAGGGAGCGGGCAACTATAACTTGTTACCTTACTTTCACACACACACACACACACACACACACACTTAGAATCACTTTAAAGATTAGGTTAACCCAACATTTCATATTACTGCCTGTTGTACTTTGTACTTGTATGAGAAAAAACATGGTGACATGGATTAATGGAGGAGTTTGCGTTAAATGAATGAAACCGCGTTTTCCGTTTGCAATGCTCAGATACAGTTTAGTTAAGATTTAACTTAAAGTTTAAGACTTTTCACCCGCCATTGAATAATTTGGAAATATTCAAACCCCCTTTGTCCAATACTGGTGTAATTATACGGTAGAAAGTGTACTGTTAGAAGATGGCGTTTGCATGGTTTAGAAATATATACAGCAATAAAGGGGGGGGGGGGGGGGGGGCATGAGCATGGTGGTGGAACTGCACTGCATCAGAGTACCACAAACCAAAAATGCTATATAATTATTAATATTCAAAACAAACTCCTCCATCTATGTCTTCATGCTTTATTTTGCTGAGAAATAATTTTGAAAAACACCCCTTGGCATTTCTGAAGTGGCCATCTTGAGTAAAAGCAAATGATTTATGTAACGGTTACTTCCTGGAATCTATCGGTCCTTAGCTCAGGCATTAGCTGAGCTGAGAACCCTCCCCCTCCTGAAGACTCCTGGGATGTAGGACTCATTTGCTTATGCATGGAAACCAGAAAGTAAATGAAGGAATGTAAAGAAAAAAGTTAAAAGTAAATATGATATACTTTTCTATGCATTTACTAATGCTAGCAGCGTAAGAATTAGAAATATTCCATGTTGATTGAGAGTGACGTGCCGCTTTTATATGTTTTACTATGTGCGAGTCTAGCTGTATCGAGCTTAAGGCCTTATTCCCACAGGGCATGCTAAAGTGCACTACGTGAAGGGCCATGTTTACCCGCATCCTTGTGCAGGCAGTCCCTTTGATGTCAACTGGGATGCAGCGACTGCACGGACATAAATGCTGCTCCCAATCTGACATCTGCATTGTTGCATGGCCCCAAAACGCACACTGTGTATGGGACATATATCTGCATGGATGTCAAATCCATCCACTAATCGCAGGCTCCCATAAAAGAAAAAAAATAAATGCACTTTTGTTTCCCCCGTGAAAAAAAAATGCATTTATTCATTTAGTTTATTTGTAAAGGTGAACTTAGCCATTAACTATATGTTACCTTTGGCAAATCTATCAACAGATCCTAAATTTGGCACAAGTTTTTCCCCTAAGTGAAACAGGAAAAAAAAAATAAAATACTTACACTCGTTTTCCTTCTACGAAGACTCCTTTGTTCTCAATGCCTTTCACAAACCATTCACTCAGTGCAATCTTCTCCTGGAGAAAAAAAAAGAAAATTCTTCATATGTTTAAGTCAAAATGTATTTTGCTACATTGGTAAAAATAATAAGTGTATATTGACTAACAGTGGCTGGGAGGGACACGGACACTAAAAACAGTGATCAGATATAATACTAAACACTGTACTAATGACACTGGCTGGGCAGGGTTCACCATCAAGGGGAAATCAAGGGGTTAACTGTGTGCCTAACAAGTATAATGTGTGCTGCTTTCAGGCTCCGTTCACATACATGCATTTTGTGTGGTCAATGCTTTCTCTAGTGCTTTTTGCTGTTTGTGTTGCATTTTTCTACATTTTGTAGAGCTTCTTTTTTTTTTTGGTTAAATTGGAATTTTTTTTGCTGCTGGACAGAAAATGAAAAAGCAAAAAAAAAAAAAAAAAAAAAAAAAAAAAAAAGAAAAGAAAATGCACAATGCACTTCAGCAGCTTCTCCACTGAACTCTATTGTAGCAAAAATGCTGCTTTTTGATTTATAAAAGTCCCTGACCCTTTCCAGAAATGCAGTAGCTCAAAAAAAGCAGCGATGTGAACATGTTCTACAGGAACGTAAATGTGCTGATGATCACACAAGAATACACCACCTTTCTCGGATGTACACTCACCAGATGAAAACTGGTACAAGCAATCAAGCATTAAAAATTTGAGAATGGAAGGCGGCCAAAGGGTTAAACCGGACCCAATTTGTCCTGGGCACTCGGATGGGAAGTCAACCCTTGTCCTAGAGGGAATAGCTCACCACAGGAGCCAATAAGGTTGCATATAGTGTACTATTTATTAGAACATTAAAAAGTATCCATGTGGAGACAGAAATCAAAAAGCATAATAGTGTCATCCATTTGTGTTTTTATATCTGCCTGGCGTTAAAAAAATTACTTCAACTTTAAAAAAACCAAACATCTTTTTGCAGGTACCAAAATATGCATTTATTTATTTTGTTTTTATTAGGAGCTAAAAAAAAAAAAAAAAAATATTGCATCATCGATCAGCAGATTGCAGGTCTCATGCAGGACTCCTGCCGGCCTCAGGAAGGCAAGTGGTTAACAAAGCTTTATTCTCAACAACAAAAACCCTCTCTCTTATGTAGCCCTTCTGTGTACCTTGACAGATGCAGGTCAGGTTTACACACAGTTGTGCCTCTCAGCTTTTGCCTATTACCGTCTTAGGATCCCTAAGAACTTAGTACATTTAAAATCGTAATAAGTGAGCAATAGTCTCCAGTCTCTGACGATCACTGCTATTACAGTTTTAAATGTGCCAAGTTCTTGAGGATCCTAAGCAGGTTAATAGGCAAAAGCTGAGAGGCATACCTGTGTGTAAATCTGTCATGTATCTGTAGAGGTACACAGAAGGGCTACATAAGACAAGAGGTTGCTGTGCTATTAAATAAATATACACTCAACGGCCACTTTATTAGGTACACCTTGAAAGTGCCAAGAAATTCTCCCCACACACCATTACACCACCACCTCCAGCCTGAACCATTGATACAAGGCAGGATGGATCCATGCTTTCCAGCTGTTTATGCCAAATTCTGACCCTACCAACTGAATGTTGCAGCAACCAGTCTGCCCATTCTTCACGGACATCAACAAGGTATTGTCATCCACACAACTGCTGCTCTTTGGAGATTTTCTCTTTTTCGGATCATTCTCTATAAACCCTAGAGACTGTTGTGCAAGAAAATCCCAGTAGATCAGCAGTTTTTTTTAAATACCCATACCAGCCCGTCTCGCACCAACCACCATGTCACGTGTCAAAGTCACTTAAATCCCCTTTCTTCCCCATTCTGATGCTTACATCTAGATGCCTAAATGCATTGAGATGCTGCCATGTGATTGGCTGATTAGCAATCTTTGTTACCAAGCTATTGAACAGGTGTACCTAATAAAGTAGCCAGTGAGTGTAAATAAAAAATGTGAACTTTTAATACACAAGCCATTTTATACTCTGGATCAGCCTGCATGTGTCACAGGAAAGCATGGAGGTTTCTGTTCAGAGTATAAAATGGCAAAGTAAAATAAAAGTTATAAATTACTTATACTTACCTTGCAGGTCCCACAAGGCGGGCAACTAAGAAATTTATTGGTTTTATTTTATTTACCCCCCAGTTTGACTCCAGCAACCATCCTACCCCTTCCCATCCCCAGTCTGAGCCCGGACCCACCAAATAACCCCCAGATCTGACCCTAGACCCATCAACTACCTCCAATCTGACCATGGAGCAGTCACCCCCCCCTCCCCAAGTTATTCCACAGCACCACCCTCTCCCCCAAGTACAGAAACCCCCTCCTCTCCCCACCACACATACAGAGCAGAGGTGGGTATCTGTCATTAGGTGGATGTGGTGTCAGTGGTTGTTCTTGATGTACATCCATGATGTCAGGAAATCTTCCCCGGTACGGAGGCCCCTCCTCCCGGACAGGATGGAGGACAGCGGGGGATCCAGCATGATTCTCCATTTACAGACAGAGGACAGCCCGTGCAGGAAACTACACAGGATGGGCAGGGCCAGCGAGGACAATCTTCATGAAAAGACCAATAGACTATGTGGTATATATCTTCCCATGGAGACTAGGGCTAGGTTCACACCTGTGTGGGTGGTGCCGCTGCGAGACCCACACAAATTCCTGCAGCTGCTACCACCCTCACAGTGAACCGTGGGACCCGCGGATGGGTGCAAACCCAATCCCTCCCCTCCACGCTATGCAACTGAGCCCAGATGCCAGGATGCAGTTTCTAGTCGCCATGGTGACCTGCGGTCTGGGATTTGTCGAGCCCTGCATTAATAGTGAACATTATAAAAAAAAAGTTGCACATGAGTAATTCTATAGCAGAAAGTTTGTACCTCCTGTTTGGATTGGTTCTCCTGCTTTGGGCAGTTCTCTTTTCTCAAGGAGACTTCAGGAGCGCTCTCTTTTCGAGGGATGTGTATTTTTGGTGAAGTAATCGCAAGTTTATAGAGATCATCAAGAGGATCGTGGCTGGTGTTCCTTTTTTCAGGTTGATTATCTGACAATGTTTTCTTTCCCTCGTCTGCTCCAGGAAGCCTCTGCTTGGCCGGCTTTGGACTGGTGACTTTAGGACTTAATACTTTAGCAGCTGTAATAATTCCTTGGTTTTCTTGGGGTATTTCATGCCTTGCATGATCAAAATCGTCCTCAAAAACACTTGGACTAGTGGTGTTCAAGTGACCATCAACAGCAGGCAACTTGTCCTGTAAATTCTGTGTCTGCTTCCAACCTAGATCTAAGAAAAAGAAAAAAAAAAGATAAGCCTAAAGTATACCCGTTGCTTTACGTCTGTGGCAAACTTCAGACACGTAGCAATCGGCGGGCGGCAAGCCCAGCGAACACAACACATTCAGGTAAATGGGGAAGTGCCGCAAATGCCCCACAATCATGTACATTGCATTGCGGTGCGCCTGTCGGCACAAATGGGGTTATAACAGGCGGTGAGGAGGTGTCACATCACTTCCTCACCACCTGTAAGTAGACTCCGGAGTGCAATCCAAACGCAGATTGGGCTTCAGAGGCAAGGGCGAGCTAGAGGCATGTCTACTTCAACCCTAAAGGCTTTTAAAGCATCACCTATGGAAAATCTTTAGGTTGTTTTTGTGACATTTCACCAGTGCACTCACGGGTCATAACGTGCCGGCATCCATTTACTGGACGCAACATCATCCTTTATATTTTAACAATACTACAGTTACTTTTAGGAGTTATTAGAACTAATGTAGGAGCCAAAAGAAAAAGTACTTCTAATACCACAAATATTAAACAGGAATTGATTTATATTTTTAATATAATGTACAAGTGACTTTCAAAAGCAAATATTTACAAGCCCCGCCACCCCATTCTGTGGGGCTTCCCTACAGATTTTCAATTAGAGTGAGACAGTCTTAAAGAAAGCAGCTTTTTCTGTGCTCTTTGAAACAGTGGCTACAATTGGCTCCTGGGCTTTAGCCACCCCTGCAATCCAGTGCACTTCTGACCTACATACCCACCCGCTCCATTACCACATTAGGTTCACTGCTAAATGGTGCTTGCCATATCAAAACGGAATACTATCACACCCAAGCAAGTTCACCCATGTTCATGCAGATTTATTGTGATCACTACAGTCCATGTAGGTGAAGCAGAAAGACAAACCATTAGGGAGCAAGAAAGGTGGTGATACCAAATGGCATTATAGAAGAGCAGTTCCATTCAAGCATGCACATACTAGGTAGATGGAGAGTACAACCCACCAATAGGTGTATGAAGGGAAGGAAGAGTTCGTGCAAAACACAGAAGAAATGGATTATGGAGAGGACTGACGATGTTAGCACACAGAAGCAGCCCGTGTTGGAAGGTATACACCTTCTTGATTACTTACTGGTTTCTTGTTCACTCGCTCCATTGGGGGCATTAACAGAGCCAGCGCTGCTTTGCAGTGGCCTGATATTAAGAAGCTTTGAAATAGGTACACCTGTGGATGACCCCATATTGTGCTGGTTAAAATTAACAAGTTTTACAAATATACAGATATTCTGTGCAATGGTGAAGGTGGGAGAACACAAAGAAGCCCCACTGTTTAGAATTCTTACTTTGGCAATAGGACTCGGTTCACACCAGGTGCTTAGGACTGGCTGGGTCATCTTGCTCAGCACAGTCCCAATGCAAAAAAAGGCAATGTGCTTTGCTTACAATCAGCTCAATTAACACCACTGTGCTATGGTGGTGTGTGCTGAAAGAAGGCATGCAGCACCTTTTTCAATGCAGTGTGGAGCAACATCCACTGCACCACACTGCAACCGTCAGGATTTAATGAAACTAAAGAAAGAATGGGGGGGAAAAAAAAAAAAAAAAAAAAAAAAAAAAAAAAAAGGAGGGAGGGGCGGGGTTGCTGTACAATGCACATTTTCCCCTGCATCAGCATTGCAGCCTTCTCATTGCACACCAGCAGCTATATTCTAACAAAACTGTTGGTATGAGCAGGCCCTTAAAGACATTATTAAAGCGGAACTAAACTCTGCTCCAGCCAAAGTCAGAATGAAGTGTTCCCGATCCTGCGCCTCCTGGGATACTTACATCACACCTCCCAGGAGGCTGCAGGAAGAGGCAACCGGAAGACTAGGATTGTATGTTCTTTGATGAGCACTACAGTTAAGTGGGAAAAACATTGGGGGTTGAGTACCACAAAAATACATAAATCAATTTAACAAAATAACATACACCAGACACAAAACCAATGCAAACCACAAGACGACAACCTCTAGTTCTGCAGTAGCAGAGGAACTACATGTCTCAGAATGTCTTTTCTAGAAAACTGGCTCATTTTAGTGGCCCCGTGGAAAGAAGCCCAGTTCTGTGAGGCAGCTAATTTGCGTGCTGTCGTTCAATACCACCAAAAGAAAGCTCTGTCTCAAAAAAGAAAAAAAAAAAAAATGTCATAGGTGTCCAGTGTTGCATGACCGTGCAATAGTCAAAGTGCAACAGCACTGAAAGCTGAAAACTGGCTTGGGCAGAAAGGGAGTGAAAGTGCCCGGTAGGCAACTGGTCAATAGAATTTAGAACCTTTTGCCACTCCATTGACAACTGGTAAACATGGCTATACATCAGGGTGGATAAAAAAAAAAAAAAAAAAAAATAATAATATCAAATGAGTTAAAAAATAAATGAATAAATCAATCAGATTTTATTTAAATCGGATTTTTTAGATTATCAAATTTATTTCAATAAAATGCTTTGTGGAGTAAAAAATATATAAAAGATAGTTTACCATTATAGATACATTAACTATTATACAGGATTTCTATAGCGCCAATAGTTTGCTCAGCGCTTTACATTAATAATTTAGTTTATGCAGCATGAAATGGAGCTTAGTTATGTAGTATGAGGTTGTATATTCTGCAATATTTACATTTTTGATAAACTCATTCAATGAATCCAAGCTCTGCAAGCTGAGATCACATGCACTGCATTGATGCAGTCACATTTTCACAGTAACCATGAGAAAACACACAAAATAAAAGAATTTGAGTCGTTCAACTATGTGTGATGAACCTATTAACCTAAAATCTGTTCTGATATCGCCGTTTTACTAACCTGACAGCTTATTATTCTAAAATGGAAACCCTCATTTGGTTTGCAAATATTAAAGATTCTAACTACCAGCAAGAAGGAGTTGGATTCCTTACATTTAAAGAGCACCTGTCATTTTAGATCCATCATGGAAGCTCCTGTTAGCGGGCATCCACTCACCTGCTGCCGCCAAGTCCCTCACCTTGTTGTATCACTGCCGCATCACCATAAAAATACAAAAAATAGTGCAGCACTAACAACCTATACTAAAATACAAATGAGATAAATGGAAATATCACATAGAATGCACAATAAATATTCAGTGTTAGGTGCTCATAAAATGAATACTATGTGCAGCAGTCCATAAATGCCAATGATGGTGAAAAATCACAGCAAAACTGAGGTGATCACAGTGCCACTCAGTGTGCGGTCAATCCACAGATAGCCCCTCACCTCCTTGATGCGACCCACTGGGCCAAACAGCTATGTAGGTGACCTTATACACCCAATAAGGTATCATCAAAGGATGGAACGTATGGAGAGATCCCTCCAATATCTTCTCCTATCTCCTAGGTACCCGATTCCACAAAACCGTTTAAGATACCATTTACTCACATGTAAAATGACAAAGATCAGCTTTTTCCCATATCGTGGGTGTGTTCAGGAAGTCACGTGGATCGTGACGTAAACGCGTTAAGGTACGCACTGACATCATTTCCGGTGGCGCGGTGACGTTATTTCTGGCGTCGGCGCCATTTCTGGAGGGATTGTGGAGCTGCATGCATTTCTTAGCATGAGAACCATGGAAACACACCCATGATATGGGAAAAAGCTGATCTTTGTCATTTTACATGTGAGTGGGCATTTTTATTTATATTCATGTTATTATTAAAACTGGATTACACTATGGAGGATCTTCTTTGTTTTTAATGGTATCTTAAACGGTTTTGTGGAATCGAGTACCTAGGAGATAGAAGATATTGGAGGGATCTCTCCATACGTTCCATCCTTTGATGATACCTTATTGGGTGTATAAAGGTCACCTACATAGCTGTTTGGCCCAGTGGGTCGCATCAAGGTGGTGAGGGGCCATCTGTGGATTGACCGCACACTGAGTGGCGCTGATCTCCTCAGAGTTTTGCTGTGATTTTTCACCATCATTGGCATTTATGGACTGCTGCACATAGTATTCATTTTATGAGCACCTAACACTGAATATTTATTGTGCATTCTATATGTGATATTTCCATTTATCTCATTTGTATTTTAGTATAGGTTGTTAGCGCTGCACTATTTTTTGTATTTTTAGGTTCTTTCCTTGTGGTTGAGGCGAGTGTGTGCTGCTTATTAATAGGTGTTCCATTGAGCGCAGGAGTTATTTCATTATCTAGTAACTGCCGCATCACCAGCCATCCCATTAAAGTGAATGGGACGGTCAGTGAGTCAACAGCGGGTCAGAGGAGCCGCTGCGGGACAGATGACAGCTGCTCTTTAAAAAATTATGATTTAAAAATCAAGCCTTTTCACTAGTGATTTAAATCCAATCCACCCTGCTACACATACAATTCAATTCAGGTTTACAACCACTTTAAAAATCAGTATTCATTTAAAACGGACTACCTTGATGTCCATAAAATCCTTGCAGAAAGGGATTCCATCATAATCACCAATCCCAAAATAATCCTGTGCCACCACAACCACTACTGTATACAGCAACAAAAACATTTCCTGAATTAATCAAAACAAACAAGGATTGCTGTTCCACTCCGCCTGCATTCACATCTGAGCAGAGTGTGATATCTGTGATGTTGAGGCTTTTTTTTCTTCGGTCAAGCATTTTTCCCACATACACCAGGCTTCAGGAGTTTGCTTCCTGGGTCGGGCAAACAGGAGGAGTTTTATAGGAGGGGAATTCTAAACGTATGGGAAACGCAAACATTGCACATTCACAGGTGTTCCCACTGAAGTCTCTGGGATCAAAAACACCTGAATATGCAAAAAAAAAAAAAAAATAATAATGGACATACTTTTTTGAGCTTATGGTACACAGCGACTGCAGAGGGTGTGAACAGTCACAATTAGAAAGAACAGGATTCTGTGTAGTCAGGTGTAGATTATAAGAACTTTTTTACCTGCCACAGGATTTGTATTACCCCAAATCTAAAGTTATGAAGCTGTGTAAAATCTATATACCAAATACCAGCACCCCTGTGTATTCTCTGTCCCTTCCACCAGTAGATCCACTGCTGTGTGGAAAGGTTCTCCCATACACCCCTTTTCTTCAGCATTAGCCAATCCGTGCGCAACTTTTTTAGCTGGTTCTTAGATTTGAAGCAAATTAGTCAAGGCCTGGTTTACATCATAATGTACAAGTATGCACCGCGTACAAATACATTATGACAGACTTATTAAACGGAGCTCTCCAGCACTCTCCCCGATGCTTCCATCTTTGTTCAGTCTTCTGTCCAGATTTGGAATCTTCAGCCGCTTGAATGGCCAGAAAAGAAGTGACATCACAAACACGCATGTGCACAGGAGGTACATCGTCGCAGCGCGGGCTGTAACTGTGGTCTGAGCTGTGCATGTCCAGCTCCAATCACATTACCCGCTGACAGGCAGGGGAAGATCTATGTAGATTTTACAAAGCATCACAACTTTTTGGGGGGAATTTGGGCTGTACATCCAGTCCTGGGATTTACACAGCTTTGCCGCACAGCACTGCCGTGTCCAGCTTTGCCGCACAGCACTGCCGTGTCCAGCTTTGCCGCACAGCACTGCCGTGTCCAGCTTTGCCGCACAGCACTGCCGTGTCCAGCTTTGCCGCACAGCACTGCCGTGTCCAGCTTTGCCGCACAGCACTGCCGTGTCCAGCTTTGCCGCACAGCACTGCCGTGTCCAGCTTTGCCGCACAGCACTGCCGTGTCCAGCTTTGCCGCACAGCACTGCCGTGTCCAGCTTTGCCGCACAGCACTGCCGTGTCCAGCAATGGAGGAGACCTGTTTTTTTTTTTCTCTGCTGCAGTTCAGTAACCGTGACAGATCTGGAACCTTCTCCAGCCCGTAGCTGCTAGTGAAATGAACAGCAGCAGACTAACGAGTCCATATCTGTCACTCTGCTCTCTGTCCTCCTATCAACAAGTCCCTTGTTGGCAGCATAAGCACTACACCACAGATGACTGGCTCCTTGCGCTGCTTTTTCCCCTCCCAGTCTAGGCTGCAGGAAATTACACAAAGATTATATCATGCCAAATTCAAGTACATATACAGAATTAAAATACAATTTAAAGTATACAAGGACATTAATAAATGCAGAGCAGCAATTGTGTGTCTTTTAGAAGGTGAAACAGGAAGGCGCTTCTAAGTGCAGTATTCCAGGTCCACTTTAATAAGAAGCGGTTAAAAACACTTACAATGTAGTAGTACAAACAGGCTCTAATGTAATCCGTCAGTAGCAGGGCTCTGTCCTCTGAGCAATGGAGCTGCTGTGCCAGCCAGCAGCTGCAGGGGGAGCTTGAGGAGAGGTGTTAAAGATGGCCGCCGCCCTGTTCGAACCGCTGGAGCACACGCTGGAAGGCACGCTGGCCACAGACTGGAAGTGACGTGAGCATGGAATGGCGACACGTTTCAGGGCATGTGCAGAGCTCCTTCTTCAAAACCAATGTCCAGGCTTAGGGAGAGCCAGTAAAATAGGGTAAAGAGGCGGGAAAAGGGGCATTCGGTGGGAAGGAAGGTACACGCCTCCCAAAGACCAAGCTGGATGTAAATACGGAGTTGACCTGGAATACTGCACTTAGAAGCGCTTTCCTGTTTCACCTTCTTCTGCACAGAGTTTGTCTCCACTCTTTAGAAGTGCTGCTCAGTAACGGTTTCCCTACACACCACCCATCATCAGCTGCCATACTTTCACAGCATCGTCCACCAACGCGCCCTACTACCTACCTTAATCATGTCTATTGCAATCATGTTTATCTTTAAGGTCGATGCAAAAGGAAGGGATGGAGGGAAGTTACCTCTGCTGCCAGCCTTATAGTAGGGGAAATGGCATCAACAACATGAAAAAAAAAAAAACGACCTGTCTAATCCCCGACAATGAATGGCTGGGGGTGGCTACTACCTACAGATATAACAGGACACTTGGGGGTGAATATCCCCTCTAAAGAGACACCTGGTAGAGTCCCATAACAGATCATCTCACCTTCTTCACGGTTAAAGAAAACACCCATAAAGCCATTAGAGTTCCATGGCCCAAGGGGGCTCTTCCTGGTCTTTGGATGAGGCATGGCCTCCTTGGCTGCATCAGGTTCCATACTTTCCTCTCTGCAATTTGGAGAAAACCATGCTAATATCCGAGAGATCTGGTGGATCCGCTCTGCCTGGAATCAATGTTGACTGAAGAGTTGTACTTAAGGCACTTGTGTTGGTAATTATTCTAGAGGGTCTTTCAATGGATAGAGTCTGCTGCCATCGTCCCCGAATGTCTTTCAGTGGAGTGTGTGTATTTGGAGGGATGGAGTCCAGTGGAACCCAACTTGTCTCAAGATCCTTACCAGAGCGAGCTTTCACCTGCGGATTTTCCACAATTCTCATAACATTCATTTCCGAGTAGGAGTCTCAATGCGTTTATTCCCCGAAGATTATACAATGGAACTCATCACAGGGCCAGGCCGATTCCTCCTAGAAAGACAACAAGCCGTTACTTTTCTAAATAAAACCGTACCAAAGATCAATGAAATGCGTCATGCAAGGTGGCAAGAGCAAGGACACGCCTCATGCAAGGTGGCAAGAGCAAGGAAATGCTATCACAGCGTGAAGAAAAGTACTGCCCATAACCAGCAAATGTCACAGATTATCAATGCCCTGATCATCAGTGGAGCCCATCAGTGCCCGCCTATGAGAGCCCATCAGTGCCGCCTATGAGAGCCCATCAGTGCCGCCTATGAGAGCCCATCAGTGCCGCCTATGAGAGCCCATCAGTGCCGCCTATGAGAGCCCATCAGTGCCGCCTATGAGAGCCCATCAGTGCCGCCTATGAGAGCCCATCAGTGCCGCCTATGAGAGCCCATCAGTGAAGGAGAAACATTACCCATTTGCAAAATTTTATAATAGAAAATTTTTTTCAAAAGTTGTGCTTTTTTGTGTTTTTAGTGCAAAATATAACCCCCCCGAGCTTCTTATTAAAGTGGACCTGGAATACTGCACTTAGAAGCGCCTTCCTGTTGCACCTTCTAAAAGACACACAATTGCTGCTGTGATTAAATACCACCAAAAGAAAGCTCTATGTGTGTGAAATGAAATGCTAGAACTCTCATATGTCATTTTTATCTCAATTGTCATTCAAAGTGCAACAGCACTGAAAGCTAGCCTGGGGGGGAAGGGGTTGAGGAGCCCGGTGAGGGGGGGGGGGGAAGGGGTTGAGGAGCCCGGTGAGGGGGGGGGGGGGGGGGGAAGGGGTCTGAGGAGCCCGGTGAGGGGGGGGGGGGGGGGGGGGGGGTTGAGGAGCCCGGTGATTAGGGGTTGAGGAGCCCGGTGAGGGGGGGGGGGGGGAAGGGGTTGAGGAGCCCGGTGAGGGGGGGGGGGGGGGGGAAGGGGTTGAGGAGCCCGGTGAGGGGGGGGGGGGAAAGGGGTTGAGGAGCCCGGTGGGGGGGGGGGGGGGGGGGGGGGGGAAAGGGGTTGAGGAGCCCGGTGGGGGGGGGGGGGGGGGGGGGGAAGGGGTTGAGGAGCCCGGTGAGGGGGGGGGGGGGGGGGAAAGGGGTTGAGGAGCCCGGTGAGGGGGGGGGGGGGGGGGGGGAAAGGGGTTGAGGAGCCCGGTGAGGGGGGGGGGGGGGGGGAAAGGGGTTGAGGAGCCCGGTGAGGGGGGGGGGGGGGGAAAGGGGTTGAGGAGCCCGGTGTGGGGGGGGGGGGGGGGGGAAAGGGGTTGAGGAGCCCCGGTGAGGGGGGGGGGGGAAAAGGGGTTGAGGAGCCCGGTGAGGGGGGGGGGGGGGAAAGGGGTTGAGGAGCCGGTGAGGGGGGGGGGGGGGGGGAAAAGGGGTTGAGGAGCCCGGTGAGGGGGGGGGGGGGGAAAAGGGGTTGAGGAGCCCGGTGAGGGGGGGGAAAGGGGTTGAGGAGCCCCGGTGAGGGGGGGGGGGGGGGAAAGGGGTTGAGGAGCCCGGTGAGGGGGGGGGGGGGGAAAAAAGGGGTTGAGGAGCCCGGTGAGGGGGGGGGGGGGGGGAAAAAGGGGTTGAGGAGCCCGGTGAGGGGGGGGGAAAGGGGTTGAGGAGCCCGGTGAGGGGGGGGGGAAAGGGGTTGAGGAGCCCGGTGAGGGGGGGGGAAAGGGGTTGAGGAGCCCGGTGAGGGGGGGGGGAAAGGGGTTGAGGAGCGGGGTGGGAGGGGGGGGGGGGGGAAAAGGGGTTGAGGAGCCCGGTGAGGGGGAGGGGGGGGGGGGGGGAAAAGGGGTTGAGGAGCCCGGGAGGAGGGGGGGGGGGGGAAAAGGGGTTGAGGAGCCCGGTGGGGGGGGGGGAGGGAAAAGGGGTTGAGGAGCCCGGTGAGGGGGGGGGGGGGGGAAAAGGGGTTGAGGAGCCCGGTGAGGGGGGGGGGGGGGGGAAAGGGGTTGAGGAGCCCGGTGAGGGGGGGGGGGGGAAAGGGGTTGAGGAGCCCGGTGGGGGGGGGGGAAGGGGTTGAGGAGCCCGGTGGGGGGGGGGGGGGGAAGGGGTTGAGGAGCCCGGTGGGGGGGGGGGGGGGGGAAGGGGTTGAGGAGCCCGGTGGGGGGGGGGGGGGAAGGGGTTGAGGAGCCCGGGGGGGGGGGGGGGGAAGGGGTTGAGGAGCCCGGTGGGGGGGGGGGGGGAAGGGGTTGAGGAGCCCGTGGGGGGGGGGGGAAGGGGTTGAGGAGCCCGGTGGGGGGGGGGGGAAGGGGTTGAGGAGTGGGGTGGGGGGGGGGGGGGGGGGTTGAGGAGGGGTGGGGGGGGGGGGGGGGTTTGGGGGTTAAAGCCTCGTCCACGGCCAGCTTGTTACCACATAGCTCAGCATACCTCCAGAGGTCTAGAGGAGACCGGACCCCAATGGGAGTCATAATATTATGGCCTCCCCTGACACAGACCAGAATACCTCATGAACACGTCTCCCTCACACTCACCTTTCCCGCCAGCTGCCCTCAGTCCGCCGTTATCACACTCAATTTAACTTCCCCTGCTCCTCACTGATTGGCCGCTCTTTTCCATAACCTCACATCCAGTCCCGCCTCCCCCGGAAGCCGGCCGTGACAGCTAAAAGGCGACTGGAAGACGCGGCCACCATCTTGCCCGAGGGCAGAATCTCGTTTCCACCGCTCAGAGCAAACGCTTCTTAGGCTCGGTATAACAAACTAAGCTAGTGCTCGGGACAAAGAACGTTCAGACGAAGCGCTCTAACGGAGGCATTTCTGTTTATCATTTACACCTGGTAAGTCCAGAGCCGCTGGGATGCCCTTAACTAACATGGACGGCGGGGCCTCGGTGTGTGATTTGAGGGGGAAAGCCGAAAAAAAAAAAAAAATCCCCGCTTCAAAAGAAGGAAAGAGCCGCTTGGACTGGAGGTTGTCAGTCGGAAGAGTTTTCGGTGGGTGGAGGAGTGAGGCCGGGTGTGAGAGCGGGGTCTGGGAAGGTCGGCTGAGGCGAGAAGGCGGCCTGGGGCCTGGTACCTGCTGAGGTGGGGAGAGCATGGAGGAGAGGGGAGAGCTCGTCTATAACATGGGCTGTGCATGGCTGACAGACACCCCTTCATATTCCGCTCCAGGCCCTGGAGGAGGCCCAGCACTGCTCCCCCTGTCCCCAGCTGGGGGATTCACTCCCTCTGTGTCCTGTTTACTGTTATCGCCAATAGCCATAGAAAATCCCAAAGTTTGGGTTGTCCCCAGGACAGGAATAGAGGGGAAATCTTCCAATGGGGACACCCAGGGGGGGTTCCCTCACTTGAGAGGGATTTCCTCTCTCTTCCTGTTGGCTCTGAGACAGGAAGTGAAGAGAGATCTCCCGAGAGGGTAAAAAATACCCGACGGGCTATAACCCTCCTCTGTCTTTAAGTGGCTCTAAGGGTTATAAAGATATATATTTTTTCTTTTTTTTGTAAATAAAAACATATTGGTTTTGCACAGAGCAGCCCTGATCCTCCTCCGCTCGGGTCCCCCACCGGTACTTCTGGCCCCTCCTCCTTTGTATAGTGCCTCCAGCGCAAACTGCTTGCTCCGGGGGCACTCGTGCGTGCTCGCTCTTGAGACACCTCTGTCTATGGGGCATATGAAATGTGGCTCTGTCCCACTCTGTGCATGCTCCCTCCTCATTCGTTGTGATTGACAGCAGTGGGAGCCAATTGCTGGAGAGAGATCTGGGAAAGCTGAAGCTCTTGTGCACCTTTCTGGATTGAGGACAGGCTCAGATTATTGGATATAAGTATTGGAGGAGCTGCACATTGAAAGCTTTTATTATAGTGGACGGGGAGGGCTGGTCCGGTCAGGGTGGGTGCCGGGGGAGGGCTGGTCCGGTCAGGGTGCCGGAGGAGGGCTGGTCCGGTCAGGGTGCCGGGGGAGGGCTGGTCCGGTCAGGGTGCCGGGGGAGGGCTGGTCCGGTCAGGGTGCCGGGGGAGGGCTGGTCCGGTCAGGGTGCCGGGGGAGGGCTGGTCCGGTCAGGGTGCCGGGGGGGAGGGCTGGTCCGGTCAGGGTGCCGGGGGAGGGCTGGTCCGGTCAGGGTGCCGGGGGAGGGCTGGTCCGGTCAGGGTGCCGGGGGAGGGCTGGTCCGGTCTAGGTGTCAGGACGAGGAAGCAGGGGTGTGTAAATTTAAAAAAAAGACTTGTCCAGGGACTAAATCTGGGTCCCAATCTACTTGTCCTGCATGACAATCTACACTGCTCACAAACACTTTTTAATCAGAGTATGGAATCAAGTCAATGAAACTCCTGGGGTATTGATCTGGTCAGTTAAGTAGCAGAGGGGATTGTTAATCAGGTTCAGCTGCTTTGGTTGTTAATGAAATTAACAGGTGTACTAGATGGGCAACAATGAGAACCCCTAAAACAGGAATGGTTTCACAGGTGGAGGCCACTGACATTGTTTTTTCCCCCTACTCATCTTTTTTGATTGTTTTTCACTAGTTTTGCATTTGGCTAGGGTCAGTGTCACTACTGGTACCATGAGATGATACTTGGACCCTACAGAGGTTGCACAGGCAGTCCAACTCCTCCAGGATGGCACATCAATATGTGCCATTGCCAGAAGGTTTGCCGTGTCTCCCAGCACAGTCTCCAGAGCATGGAGGAGATTCCAGGGCGACAGGCAGTAGTTACTCTAGGAGAGCTGGACAGGGCCGTAGAAGGTCCTTAACTCATCAGCATGACCGGTATCTGCTCCTTTGTGCAAGGAGGAACAGGATGAGCACTGCCAGAGCCCTACAAAATTACCTCCAGCAGGCCACTGGTGTGAATGTCTCTGACCAAACAATCCGAAACAGATTTCATGAGGGTGGCCTGAGGGCCCGACGTTCTCTAGTGGGCCTGTGTGCTCACTGCCCGGCACCACAGAGCTTGATTGGCATTTTCCATTGCACACCAGAATTGGCAGGTCCACCACTGGCACCCTGTGCTTTTCACAGATG